GTGAGAGAATTGAAGAGGATTTGCAAGAATTCAATCGAGTGAAGATTCGTACTTACTTTTTGGACGAAGAAGAGAAGGCGTAAGTGGAGAACCATCAAGAAACTATTAAAGATATTAAAGATTCATCTTCATATTCTCAATTTATTAAAAATTTGGGTTATATCTTTTCACTTAAATATAATTTCTTATAATTTCAATATGTTAGGCTAATTTTATACATTGTTAGGATAAGATGAACCCTTGTTATAATATTTTTAGTTTTTTATTAATTATTTTGACTTTAATTTAGTTTGAATTGTGGATGTATATTATCTTTTTTATTGTTCCTCTTCAATTGCTTGATCGGTAATTAAATTATTAATGGATTTTATTGTTATAGAGATAAACAATATGGTTTAAGTACAATATAATAAACATTGTAAGGTTCGACAAATGATGGAGATATATCTCTATACATTATATAGTTACAATAAATGTTCTAGTACTTATTAATTCATTTATCATATTTGCATCTTTCGTCGAGAGATAAAATGGTCACATGAGGGAAATATATTTGATCACTATTGAGAAAGACTTTTAATTAAATTAAGAACATTAACTAACATAAATATTTCAAATTGTCAATTTAATTGTTACATTAAAAATGAAATAATAAGTGAGATTTGACATTTTAGCAATGCATATCCCATATTTGAAAAATATATTTACTTGCTTTCACTTAGTTGATGACTTAGAAATTAGCGTATGTGTATATCAACAAATCTTTCGTGAGGTGTCACACTCAGACACTTTGAATAATATTACTTTCGTTCATAATCAATTTTTATTGCATTTTGCACGATGTCCGTCTCACAAATCTTTCCTGAGGTGCCGTATACTTAGAGCCACAATTAAAACTTTGACTACAGTTTCCACATTTCTCAGTCATTGATCATCCTTTTCAAAGTCATTATTCTTCAATGTCATTACATGGTACTCACTGGCTGCCAGCTTCCAGGCGGAAGTGAAAATTCAACATTAACAGTGTTAAAATTCAAAGTCATTTTATTCTTCAAGTTCAATGTCAGTACATGGAACTCAGTGACTGCCAGCTTCCAGGCGGGACTGAAAATTCAACATTAACAGCGTCAAAATATCTGGTGTAAATTATCTAGAATGCGCTTAATCAAAGAGGGCGAGAAATAAATGAGGATAGAGAGCGGCACCGGTGGGGCTTTTATAACTCTAAACTAATTCAATGCCTGTATGTGGAGGAGAGCAATGTCTGTGGGCAAAATAATTTTTGCTTTGTTACGTGCATGAATGAGCTCAAATAAATTTTCTGAATATGGTGAAGGTTGAAAGTACATTATTTATTTTGACAGAACCTTTGAGGATGCGTTTGGTTTGTATTTCCATTTTCTATTTTCAGTTTTGAATTCATTTTTAATTTTCTGTTTTGAGAGATTATTTTCGAATTATAGAAAACGTGTTTAGTTTGTCATTTTAAAAAACGGTTTCTCAAAACAGAAAATTAGAAAATGTGTTTGGTTTAAAAATTTTAGAAATTGTTTTATGACATTTATTCAATTAATTTGATTATTTGGTAAAATATAATAATTTTATGCTAATATATTACCAGATAATATATATTTTAAACACGGTGAATTTACTATTTTTTCTTGCGACAAAAATAAAATAATAAATTTTTAGAAATTGTTTTATGACATTTATTCAATTAATTTGATTATTTAGTAAAACATAATAACTTTATGCTAATATATTACCAGATAATGTATATTTTAAATTTGGTGAATCTACTATTTTTTTCTTGCTACAAAAATAAATTAATAAATAATAAATTTATAGACTAAAAGCAGGAATTGTTGTAAAGAAAATAATTAGTCCATCCTTCATCCTTCTGGATGTATTTTGCTGTCACTTGGATAGTAAAAAAAAAAAAAAAAAAATAATAGTTTTTTAAAAATTTTGATCAACGAAAAAAACAATAATGGAAATTGAAAAATGTTGTGGGCTTTAAAATTATTATGTTTCACTAATTTGTATCAAATTACAACATTTTATTTTAAAAGTACTACTAAACCCCCGCTGGGTATTTAAAAAAAAAAAGAAAAAAAAGGCATGTTTCGAGTGTTTTCCACGTTTTGAGTTTTTTAACTGAAAACAATCAAAACGGAAAAAATCGTTTTGGATTTTCAGTTATAAATTTTTCCTTGTTTTCGGAAATGCATTTTCGAAAGTGACAGACAAACACGTTTTGAACATTTTTAAAAATTAAAACTAGAAAATGACAAACCAAACACACTCTAAGAGGGTTTATTGTCTACTTATAAATTTATAGTACAAGGGTTCATCGTCTAATTCACATGTATTGACATTATCTGTCGTTTCTAAAACAAAATAGGTACTCTTTGGCCCATTCCCAAGACTTTTGTGCTGTCTATGTAGATATCTTGTCATGATTTTTAATTTAAACATATGAAAGATAAAATTTAAAGGCTTGATTTCCTATCCCAGTAGGTAGGATAAAAACATGATAAGAGAACCATAATTAAGGTTCTCTTATCATGTTAACAATGAAATTTTTTTATCCTATCCATTAGGGACATGAGATCAATTCTATTAAAACTTATTTGCTAGGACCCTTGAATCTTCAAGCTGACATTCCACGTTCGTTTTTCAATCTTTTATCAATTTTTTACTTTTCTCCTCTTTTTTGGCACAAACTTTGAACAATCGTAGGGAGTTTTTAATCTAGTTTGATACTCTATCTTCTTTGTCAATTTGCATATATTTATCCACATATAATGGAAACGTTTAAGAAATTTTTTACGGTAGTTTGGGTTCTAGCCCTTGTTCGAACCCTATTCTTTTAAAAAAAATACATTTTTAAATAGTGTTTTGACATCATTTCAATTACACATTCTTCAATATATAAACTCCCACGACTTGAAGCAAGTTGAAATTTAACTTTTTAGTACGACCAACATAAATAATAATAGTATGCCACTTTAAAAATGTTCCAAATAAGGCACAATTTCATTGTAGGAGGGATGTAAAGAGTTAAATTATGCAACGGATACAATTTTAATGTCTACTTAACCTTAGTTTAGTTTGAAATTTGAATGAGATTATTATTTTTTTTTTGTCACAATTAATACAGTTTTTAAGTTTTTCATTTTTTGACTCAATTAATAATTTGTCTTGATTTTAGCTGCTTTCTTCCATTTTCGGGTTTCTATTATAAAGTGCGCAGTGATTGGGGGTTGTGTTGTGGTATACAAATATAATTCATTTTATTGAACTCACTTTGTCTCGAGGATATCTATACTTATATTTTATTAAACAACTAGTAACAAAAGAATAAATAACTGGGAAAAAATATATTTTTTTATCAATTAACTTATCTACATCTGTACTTGTACCATTCTTCTTATGTATCTCATCATCAACAACTTCATTTTTATCATTTGCAATAATTATGTCCAAATTCGTGGTTTAGTTTATGGTCATTAGCTAAATTTTTCATTGAAGTTCTATGTACATAGTTTACATTTTGTACTTTTTAAAAGAAATCTATCAATATTC